TTTTTCTTGCACTGAACATCTTTGTTCTATGTCATTGTAGTTTAGTTGAAATGGAAGCTTAGTGGTGTAAATACTCATTTAAAAAATGATCAATATGCTACAAATGTATAAATACATATCTAGCCTTATCTCATATTCAGTCACATTAACTACAGTTCAAACCACTGAAGCCCTTCTGGCCTTTATTGTCAGCCATTTAAAGTACAAGCATTGTGGCTATTACCGCATGTCTCTTAAATATATGTTTCTCACGCTCAAAAATGGATGCGAGTTTGTTTGTAATAGGGTTGTAACGGTATGAATTTTTCACGGTATGATAATCGTCTAAAACAATACCACGGTTTGACGGTTTCGCGGTATACGGTATGTTACTAATGTTACAAAATAATAGAACAGTGAAGCAAATTTGACTTTTTCCAAATAATATATTTTTTAGTTACTATAAACAACACCACTTACAATGAACAAATAAAAAAATAAGAAAATAATAAATAATGTGTCAAAGTCCAAATAAAGTCCAAATAAACATGGTGCAAATCCTCAGTAAAAAAATAGATATATTTACTATACTATAAATAGTTACATAACGAAACTAGATTCAATATGGAACATCCTTAGGTTTTATGTGCCAGCATGGATAATGTTGTCTATCGATATGGATTTGGATATGGTTGTCTGCAATGCAGACAAACAGCTGCACCTTCATTTGTGTCTTTTGAAAACAGCAAGAGCAGCAGTTCGTCTTTGCTGTGTCACTGTTTTGTCATGTTTCTGTGCTGCTGTGCATGCAAAAGTACTTAGTATGAGAATTATTTCATGCAAAACTTTTTTTTTTTTGCGTTTTATTTAGCCGCGCATAAATGTATGCCTATCTCTCATTCTGTGTTGTTCAAAAAGCTTGGTCCACAAACAAAAGCGAAACCTATGCTTATTGGTTGTGATATAGCGAGTTTGAACCAATCTGGGCATGGAGGAGGGACAATGCATCAATGTATCATGTCTGATTTGTCCGGAGACACAGTGACGAGCGTTTCTTTGTCAAATCAGCGTTGTCAAATGTTGATGACGTAACCGCACTGATTCCGGAGCCTCTGAAAGTCCGCGAATGTTATGTGATACAGCACTGGAAAGCTGAGACTCTCTTCTTTATGCCAATCTTTGAATTGTATGAATCGGATCAGCGGATCAAAAGTTATTAAACATTTAAGAGTAATACTTATTTTTAGCCGCGGGCGGCTGTCTCGGTCTTTAAGGGTTAAAACCGTTGATATGCAATTGTTCATGGTATGATAATCGTGCACGTTCAAATCGTGGTAAACCGTCATACCGGTATATTGTTACAACCCTAGTTTGTAAGCAAACCAAATAACCCGTCCTGTAAGTCGATAATGAATTCTGCCATGATTAGAAACTGAATTTACCCTTGAAGATAACATAGACTCATAGGTAAGCAAGCAAAAAAGAGGTGAAGTCTTATAATTTGCAGCTCCTATAGCAATCGTGTGCTGTTGTGGGAGTCTGCAGTCGGTCAGACACACACATACACACACAGACAGACAGGAGGATGGAGAGTATTAAAGCTCTCCAGTGAGAAGACTTTGAACTTCAGACCCATCTGCGGGGCGCTGGGCCTGATTAACAGCAGCTGCACAAGCGATCGGGGAGCTGTTTATAGAGGCTGGAGAACCGCAGTGAGAGCACCGACACGTGTGCGTATATGAACGACAGCATATGTGTGAGAACGAGAGACGGTAGATGTGCTCACAGCTGCTTATTTATTGCGTTTCTCACTATAAAAGCTGTAATAGACAATTTAATTATCATTTTAAACCATCAGATGTGTATTTCGATAACTGAAAGGGATTGTATCGGAAAAAAATGGAAAATGGAAATGGAAAGTTCTGTCATCATTACTGCCATTCACTGGGCATTCCATACATTAGTTTTTTTTTTTTTAGTGCGTAACACAAATAATAGTGTGAGTAAAATTAGTGAATGGTGACAGAAGTTATCCTTACCGTACGTTCACACCGAAAGCGGCGAGAGCGTCCAAGGTCGCTCTGGCCGCCTTGGCTACAACGCTGTCTGCCTTCAACTTCGGCAGCGAGAGCGTCAAAACTCGATACATTGATCTCGTATTTAAAGGAGCCGTTGCAGCATATCAGTTACATTCCTGCATAAAACATGTTTCTAGCGTGAAAATGTTGCGCACTTCTTATCAAATTCATATAACAATGGAAGATCAAGTTGCGTGTATTGTGGCTTTGCTCTTTTTATCCAATATATGTCCATATGTCTGAAATATCCTGAAGCAGCTATACTGTTTTGTATTGTCACGTCGTGTGAGATTCCCGCTTTTTTTACAATGAATTTATATAACATTTTGAACATCAGTAACTCGCCAGTAAGTTATTTAATGCATGTTCCTGTAAGAAAACATTGTAAATAATTGGAAATCCGGCGACCGCAATCATCAAACCCTTGGGAACAACTGTGGTCGGAACCAAAGTTCACAGGTCTGTGTTCTCTGAACTCCTATCAAGCGGTGGACGTCTTCATGCTGATTGCTTGCCGCCGAACCACGTCATAGCTCATTACCATAAAGTTGACTTAATTTCAACTCTCCTAAACGCCCACGCTGGAGAAGACGCACCGCACTGCTTTTCGCCGCTGGCTCTTATTGGAAATGAATGACTTCCGGCTACTTTGACACTCTCGCCGCTTTCGGTGTGAACGTGCGGTTATAGACATGCAGTTTCTTTAATTACAATTGCAAATGAAATTAATTTATAACTATCCCAGTAGTTCTTAAATTGGGCTTAGGCATAGTGTACTGGTAGCCTAAATAAACTTCTTCAAAATTGATATTTGACATATTTTATGCCTCATTTGTAGTAAATTTACAGTTCCGTAGAGTACAATACTCTACAATCATCATGATCAGGCTTCCATTTCCACATCCAATAGTAGCCTTACTTGGTAGGCATGGTGTATGACAGAAAGTGTATGGCAGAAAGTTGGTAAACAACAATGGAGGACATACAGTACAGTACATCAGCTTTTATTCTTGCTTCTTGGCATGTTTTTTACAAGAACAGGACAAACTTAATTTTAGCATTGTTCACTGTTGCAGATTAGGGCTCCACAATATATCAATTGAGCATCGATATCGAAGACATGCAATGTTGAGTTAGGATTATAGATGACCAGAAACTACAGGTCAAACCACACAGCATTTGTGGAGACACTGCAGAATTGAACCGTAATAAAGTGAAAAGTTATCATCTGCATTTGTTTTTAGGGATTATTATTTGTTTTCATTTGAAGGGAGTTTAAAGCATTTTAGTAGTGCATAAAGAAGTTCCATAAAGATTAATTTTATTAAATTATGTATGTGGTAAAAACTATAAACTGCTATTTTACACTTAATTATTCAATTTCTGTACCTGAATATTGTTGGTCACCAGAAAACCATAAAGCCAGGTTATTTCACTTTAAAATGTGCACAGTTATGTCTATTTATTACTTTAGTTTATGTATACAATACATCACATAATAATATATTTATATTTCATTCCCCTACAAAATCATTCCAAGTAATGACTTTCCAAATAGAAGTATTTAAGTCATCTGGTGAAATTATATCGCAATATATAGAGAAAAAAAATATATAGCAATGTACAATTTTTCCAATATTATGCAGCACACCATCATTGTATTATTATGTTGTTGTGTTTCTGCTGTGTATTGTTGTCATTTTCTTAAGTTGTTGCACACTCACTTGGTACCATTTAGTTTTGCTATAGACACTCTTAGGTAAAGATAACAAAACTGTACGGTTTGCTATTTTGGTAACGTTGACAGTGAAAATGGAAATAAGTGCATACTGTACTGTACTCAATCATACCTCCAAACTGGACCAGTTTGTTATGGTTATTGTCATGTAATAACAGACTACTTGATGGCACAACTCAAGAATCATAATGCACTCACAGGGAGCCACAGAAAAAATAAAGTGAAAGAGGCATGGATGTCCACTACCTTGAGAAAGGAATGGCAATGCCAGGTAGATGTAAAGCAGACAATGAATTTACCTAAAATTAAAATCAAAACTATAATCTGTTATGCTCTTTTGAATTCGTAGAAAAATCCAAACAGTATACTGATACCTTCTTCTATTTTGATGTAGCATACCCCAGAAAAGATGTAGCTTACTTTGACAGAAATAACAAACTCATGCATACAGAATACAACATCAGTTGTATATTAAGAGCCCTGTCTTGTCCTAGAATGACAAGTAACCACAGAGTGTTGTGTGCTTCAAAATTCTGCCTTCTGGCAATATGAAGCTGAAAAAGTGACATACCATGTAGTTAAGTAGTACTGTCTTCATTACAGTATTATTTAAAAGTCGTATAAAATTTTGCTGTCAAGCTCATATCTTATGTAGGTGTACATATATTCCTCTAAGTATTCTAAAAAGATCAATTAACAAGCATAAATGTTTCTTGAGCAACCAACCAGCAGGATTTGCCATCACCGGATTAAGTTACATGTCGCCCATTCTGTGGAGGAACATAGTTTAGAGTGGGGCTCAAAAATGCTTTTCTCTACAAAAGGGAGGCCTACACTGCAACAAATGCTTTTCTTGCTCAGACTTTTTGTCTCGTTTCTAGTCTAAATATCTAAAATGTCTTATATCAAGAAGCATTTTCTAGACAAGCAAAACACATTGTCTTGTTTTGAGAAATAATATGCCAATATTAAGTGAGTTTTTCCTTAAAACAAGCAAAATAATCTGCCATTGGGGTAAGCAAAATAATCTTGTTTTTTCTTTTGACGCAAGATTATTTTGCTTACCCCATTGGCAGATTATTTTGCTTGTTTTAAAAAAAAACTCACTTATTATTGGCAAATTATTTCTCAAAACAGGACAATATGTTTTGCTTGTCTAGGAAATTCTTCTTGATTTAGGAATTTTTAGATATTTGTACTAGAAACAAGACAAAAAAATCTAAGCAAGAAAAGCATTTTTTGCAGTGTAGCAGAAAAAAGTTTGAGTACCACAGTCTACCCTACGTTGGATGAATTGCCTCTTTGAGATCATCTTCAACACTCTCCAAATTAGCATCCATCTCCAGTGCTTCCACTGCATCACCTTCCTGCTGTGTATGTATGTTCTTGGGTAGTCTAAGCAAGCAGGTCCAAAGTGAGCCACTTTTTGGAAAACCTGTCATCTGTCTGCGAGGTTTCCACTTGTCACCACAAATGACATATTCCAGGGTCAAATTGCGGTTGACGGTGAATGCAGAGCTCCCTCTCACCATAGCCGTGAAGAGAGCGCCTCTACTATTGACGTAGTGTCCGGGCATGGCCGTCCACTGACCTGTAGTGATGTTGTAGCAGTCCATGAGACAGCGCAGGAAGTCATCACAAGGGCCGTTCCTCATGACATACAAGTTGTCGCCATGAGCCACCATGCAGTGTCCGTAACTCTGAGGCTTGACCATAGTGGTAATCAGTGTCCAATCATCATTTTTTGGTGCATATTCATAGACATCTGTAGTATCCGGAGGCTTCCAGAAACACACAAATATCCTACGCCTCGCAACAGCACTAGCCGCCGCAGCCACCGAACGAGGCGCATGCTTGCAAAACCTCCATGCGCCTGTGGAAACATCACACACTTCTACCGAGGACATGATTCTTTTGTCAAATTCTCCTCCAATGGCATACAAGTGTCCATCGTGACCCACCAGGGTAAAGTCATACCTGGACTGCTGAGGACCATCAAACACACTCCAAGTGTTAGTTTCTGTGTTGTAACAGAAGCTCAAGTCCACTGTCTCCTTGCTAACTCCCCGCACTCCTCCAATGATATACAACCGATTGTCCACGACGGCTACCCCGGCCATAGAGGTGCTTGCTTCTGTTGGTAGATCAGTCAGGTATTTCCAAACACCTGGTTTCTCATCGAGATAAAACACAGTCCTGTAGCAGTCCTGCAGGATCTTCATGGATGGGGAATGAGTGCCTAGGGCGACAAACGATGCTGGTGTAAGGGACTCCACATAGCTGATCAGCTCTTCTGGGAGTGTCTCGATAGCATCCTGCAGGTCGGTATAAGCATCACAAATATACACCGCAGCACTGTGAAACAACCTCCACAAGCCGTACACCGCTGATGTGTGGTATAAAAGAATGCAGTTGTCGGTATCAAGAATGTCTATCAAGTGCTGGACTAGAACGTCCACTTGAAGGAAGGCCGCACATTCGGCAGCCTCCAAAATTTCATCGGGGTCTCGAATAACTGGGCTCTCACCTCGAGAAACCGCCATGGCTATGAGGAAACCCCTCGCTTTCAGACCTCCCTGCAGGTGGAACTCATTCAACTGGCTGTCCTTCATCCCAGATCGGAAGAGGGCACGAAAGTACTCGCAGCTCTGTCCCAGGATGGCCCGATCTACGTTAAAAACACTCTCTTCTACTCGTACTCTTAATACTCCAGTGGATTCTTCATCTTGTTCTTCCTCATTTCTGAGCCTGCTCGGACCCAAACTGCAGGGAGGCCCCATGACACCTCTGTCCTGCTTGTTCATACCATAAAGTGTTCCGGGTTGAGCTTGACTTGTAAACACAAGGCTGCATGCTGTGCAGTTTCACAGCTACTTGCTGCACTGAAAATAGCAACACACTAAAATAGCATAGAGGCCAGGGACTTCAGAATAGTAGGGTGGAAATTATCAGCACTAGTCCTGCAAGCAATTATATTCTAATATAATTTATTTGTATTATATAATTATGCAGTAATCTCTCCCATAGTGTATTTAAACTGATACATTTTCCCTTTACTGATTGTCTGTAACTGACTCAGAAGACAGAAACCCATAAATGAAGTAGACGATAGCAGTCCCCAGACAGCCAGTCCTGTTTCTAATAAGACTAAAAAGATTATTTCCCTTCAGTACCCTGTCTACCTCAGGAGTGTTTAGGCCTTGGTGAGTTTTTTTCTCCCTTCTCTAGATTTTTGGCATGGGGACGAGGGATTTTCCATGTTCTGGGTGTTCTTTTGGTCTCCTGCCCACTTGCATATTTTCACTTTGTGGTTCTTTATTATTATTTATGCCTTCTACTTGAACGGTTTCCTACTCAGACTACATTTGCTTTTCTTTTTAAGGAGAAGATGGTGTGATTTGTGGATTTAAATATGAAAGCAAGCCCAGGGTGGAGTTCAGTCTCAGCACACAGTATCTGGGATGTGAACATGGTCCTGATCCTGGGAAGTGGCTGAAGAAGAAGATTGTTTGGCACTACCCTGAAATGCCTTCACTTTCATTTTAATCATTATCAGATGCCTGAAAACTCAACACACTAGTTTCTGTATTTCTGATGAGTGTCTGAAAAGCAAGGGTGGGACTAAGCAAGAAGAGTGGGAGTTGTGAGTTAGGGTCAATGTGAGAAAAACAATGCCTTCTAATCTTCTTATTTTCCCAATCAAATCAATGTTTTGTTGCTCCATTCTCAGTGATCATATATTTTTTGAGTGTGTCTATTACTTTTGATCTGTGTCACTTATTGCAGAGCAGCCTCTAGCAAGCTTTTACATTCGACTTCCTGACATCCAGTTGTATATATACACATCACTTAGCCTTCCTTGTTGCCTCACTTCTGCTTTCGAGAGGCATAAGCATGTCATGTCAAGCAGGAGGTTTCAATCAAACCACTTAATATAATTTAAGTAAGAGGAGATTTTCCCAGCCGCATGTCTGTATCCTCTCGTCATCATTCAACTTTATGGTTCACAAGCTACCGCTAGCCATAATCAGCCCTGTGTGTGTGTATGTGTTTCAGTGTGAAAAGAGGATCAGTGCTCTGTTTGCCCAGGGGCTGTCACTGCATTGAGGGTATCAGTGGGGAATTTAGTAATGTTATGAAGCGGCTGATTTGGGAAACCTCATAGCGAGCTCCACACCCTTTTAAAACCATTACTCCTGCAGGCAAACACGTGTGGAATTCCTTTTCTAGCTGAGCAGGGCTGAGGTCAGCGAGAGATCGGTTTCGAGGAAGAATCCCCCTTCGGTCAGAAAGAAATGTCCACATGAAAGACAGGTGCAGAAACAAGCAGGCAGGCTAATCTCTGGAGAATCTTTACATGGGAGAGTATTGGAGATGCTTGGATGAAGTACTATTAAATGTGCTGACTATAACTGACTACTATAGATTTGAATGCTGGATCCAAGGTGGTTTATGATGAATTGCTGAAAATCAACAAAACTTAGAGAGGGATCTCTGGTGACTTTAAAACTGGCAAACAAGGAACGTTGTTTTAGAATAATGCTTGTTTAACACTGTGTTACTTTATATGATATTTAAATCTTGTTTCCCTAATAGACTTTTTTGTTCCTGATCTTATTGTGTAAAAATTATGCAATTTTTTATACTTATCTACTAGGGGTGTAAGGATACACTCAAGTTACAGTTCGATATGTATCTTGATACTGAATTCGTGATATAATATTACGTCAATATTGTATGCTGTAAAATGTTTTATATTAGTAGTAATATTGTATATACAAATATTATTATATATGGGCCTACTGTTGATTAAAATCATATGTTTTGTATAAACTTTGGGTGTAAGTCTTGACTAGACTTGAAATTTGTTCCTGGTCCTCAATGCCAAGGACAATGATGATACTAGAATACAACTATTCATAATTCTGTAGATGATTTATTAATTATGTTAGGCACATATGCTTTTGACCCTACCATTTAAATGTTGCAGCAGAAATTGAGACTCATCAGACCAGGCAACGTTTTTCCAGTCTTCTGTTGGCCAATTTTGGGGAGCCTGTACGAATTGTAGTCTTAGTTTCCTGTTCTTAGCTGACAGGAGTGGCACCCGGCGTGGTCTTCTGTTGCTGTAGCCCATCCGCCTCTTCTGTATACCTCGGTTGTAATGAGTGGTTATTTGAAATACTGTTGCCTTTCTATCAGCTCGAACCAGTCTGTCCATTTTTCTCTGTCCTCTGAAATCAACAAGGCATTTGCAACTACAGAACTGCTCTGTAAACCCTAGAGATGGTTGTGCCTGAAAATCCCAGTAGATCTCCAGTTTCTGAAATACTCAGACCAGTCCATCTGGCACCAACAACCATGCCACATTCAAAGTCACTTAAATCACCTTTCTTTCTCATTCTGATGATTGGTTTAAACTGAAGCAGATCGTCTTGACCCCGTCTACATGCCTAAATGCACTGAGTTGCTGCCATGTGATTGGCTGATTAGAAATTTGCATTAACGAGCAGCTGGACAGGTGTACCTAATAAAGTGCCCAGTGAGTGTATGCACATCATTTTCACTAGTAAAATCGGACATTTATCATTATCAGATTCCCTCTTGCATTATATTCATTGAATAAGTCAGAGTGAATATATTAATATAAACATGGATATATTAATAAAAACTATTAATATATAAATGTATTTTAATTAATATATTGATATATTCAAACATTCATGTTTTTTATCCAGTGTGTTTTCAATGTTTATTTGTTTATCTATTATGTGAAAAAAATGTTAATATAGTTCTCTTTTTTTTCAATCTTTTAATTTCAGTGCAACACGGGAAGGGAGCCCTTTCCTCTTCCTCCAGCTCCTGCTCCAGCCTCTATGGAAAATGAAAGTTACTATGAAGATCCTCAACCCTATGACCCTATAAGCATCAACGGTACGTCTCCAAATGGGTCCAGAAATTCCCAACAGTTTGCTCATTCCTTTAGAACTCATGTCTATTCTGGTTCAGAAATGATATTTACAAAGACTGAGTTGCAGATTAGTGAGTTCTCATCAGTCCTATCCTAAAATAGTGAACGTGTGGTCATTGAGTCCTTTCACTGTGACAGAGAGAAGCCTGCAGGCAGGGAGCTCGGAAGACAGTGCTGTTCTTTGTTCAAGTTAACCGGTCCTCTGGCTCTGGACATAGTGACGAACACTGACCGTGAGCCCAGGAAATGGGGCCAGCAGTGATTGGGGCATTTGGCTGGGGTTGCAGAGTTCAGCCCAGTGAGGGGACGATCATTTACAATATTCTGGGGCAGATGACATCTCTTCTTGGTCAGAGAAGACAGAGGCATTAGTCTGCAGCTGTGCAGTGTAATATCAACACATAAGGGATGTGCAGAGCCAACATTTCAAATGTTTTGCCACTTGTTTCGGCAGCTGATATCAAGCTATAACTCGTGGTTTAGGATAAGTAAAGTGAATTTCCAGTTGGTTGTTTTTACAGCAATAAAGCCCTTATACGACCATGTTTACATGGACACTAATAATCAGATTTTAATAAGATTAAGACAATCCTTTGATTAAGCGTCTACCATTTAAACAGCAATTTTTGTTTAATTTAATCTGGTTAAGGTCATAATCAAACTTAATAGTAATCAGATTATTACATGTGCAGTATGTCGATTTTAGTCACATTATTGAAGTGCAAACCATTACAGTTGTGTAAGATTTTTCGCCATACAAACTATGAAGAAACTGTGAAGAACCACAGACACCTGCATCGCGAAATGCATAGTTTTTTTGGTTTTTGAGATCATCACCACGCACTTCAGCTTCTCATCATATATTCTGATCAATTGTATGATCTCTAGTATCTGAAGTGTTCCGCCCGCCACAAAACATAAAAAAAAAAAAGTGTCTAATATCTATAAAATCTGTCACATATTTAAATGATACACAGCATTCATACCAAGGGTTCCCCTAAATGCATGTACTCTACATGAGAAAATATTAAATTATAGTCAACACTGTGTTGATCTGAACTTCTCTGCATACTGTATATAAGTTGAAACAATAAGAGGCAGAACCCCCAAAAGCCAGCATGCTAAAGCACTTGATGTGCATGTAAAATTTCTACTACTGTATTTAGAGCAAATTAAAAGAGGGAAAACAGACACAGTCACAAAAGTACAATTATGTAGAGGATAAATGATTCAAAGAGTGTAAATATGCTTTCCATTCAGGTGAATAATGTCTGGTTTTGAATTAATGTCACACAAACTGCATCAGCGCAAACCCAAACAGTCGGCTGGCCTAGCAGTGATATAAACAGATATAAATGCTATTGGCTATTTATAAAAATGTGAAGGACTAGTCAAATTTCCTGCCCTGTCTTTTAGTTTCAGTTGAAATTGTTATACATCATACAAAGCTGCCTTTGTTGACCTTTAGTGGACTTTTAAATCATTCTTCCTGTTTTTTTTTCATGTGGCACATAAGCCACACAGTTTCACAGTCTGCAGCTTCTTACCTGAATTTTTTTTTCTCTTCCCTTATTTCCCTTATTGCATTTCCCCTTTTTATTGTGCTCCTGTGTTTCTGTAGATTTTGGTTGCTTTGCCGTCATTACAGGGCTCAGGAAGCGCGTAGAAGCTTCAAACGGTGTGGTCTATGCTGTGATCACTCGGGGTATCTATCTTTGTTTCTCTCAGTGTGCGTCAGGAGAGAAAAACAAACAAACAGCACTAACTTTACTGGCTGCGGTGAAGTGCACAGCTCTGGGAAAACCTCACTGTTTAATGCATCCAAGCTTGAGGCCGCTGACTTTGCATGTGCTCGCTGGCTTCAGAGCATGATGTTCTTGCACTTTTCTTAGCCTTAGTCTCTCTCTTTCTCTCTTTCTGTATTTATTTTCATATTAATTTGTACACTACCTGACAAAAGTCTTCTTATCGATCCCAGTTGTAAGAACAACAAATAATAACTTGACTTCAAGTTGATTATGCGAAAAAGTGGCACTTTCTGATGAATCATCTGTTGAAATGCATCCCAATCATCACAAATACTGCAGAACACCTATTGGAACCGACATGGACTCAAGATTCTCACAATAATCATTCAAGTTTGGTCAAGGAAAAATGATGGTTTAGGGTTACATTCAGTATGGGGGTGTGCGAGAGATCTGCAGAGTGGATGGCAACATCAACAGCCTGAGGTATCAAGACATTTGTGTTGCCCATTACATTACAAAACACAGGGCAAATTCTTCAGCAGGATAGCGCTCCTTCTCATACTGCAGCCTCCACATCAAAGTTCCTGAAAGCAAAGAAGGTCAAGATGCTCCAGGATTGGCCAGCCCAGTCACAAGACATAAACATTATTGAGCATGTCTGGGGTAAGATGGAGGAGGCGGCACTGGAGATAAATCCAAAGAATATTGGTCAACTCTGGGAGTCCTGCAAGAATGCTTCCTTTGACTTTCCAGATGACTTTATTAATTATTAAGTAAAAGTAAATTAAATAAAGTTGTTTGAGTATTTGCCGAGATGTATGGATGCATTCGTCCAAGCTCATGGGAGTCATACACTATATTATTTCTTTTTCCACTGCACCATGACCTTATATTGTACACTGTACATTATTTCTGTTAAGTGACAAGACTTGTGTCTAAGTAAAGACAGACCTTACTGTCCTAATCAAATAATTAAAATAAAGGCAAAATCATATCTTATTATGATTATGAAAGGTATTATTATGGTATAAATAAACCTAATCTAGAGGCCTTTGCCTTTCATATAAGCCACTTCTGATACCAAATGATCAACTCGAAGTCAAGTTACTATTTGTTGTTCTTAAAACTTGGATAGATGACAAGACTTTTGTCAGGTAGTGGATAGGTTTTTTATGCCAAGTCAGTTGGCGTTCCTTTGTGGAGTTTGCATGTTCTCCCCACGTTCGCGAGGGTTTCCTCCGGGTACTCCGGTTTCCCTCACAGTCCAAAGACATGTGGTGCAAGTGAATTGGGTAGGCTAAATTGTCCGTAGTGTATAAGTGTGAATAAGTGTGTATGGATGTTTCCCAGAGATGGGTTGCAGCTGGAAGGGCATCCACTGGGTAAAACATGTGCTGGATAAGTTGGAGGCTCATTCCGCTGTGGCGACCCCGGATTAATAAAGGGACTAAGCCGAAAATGAAAATAAATGAATGAATGAAAGTTTTTCCCCCACTGTTTTAATAGCTATTAATATTATTATCATAATAACTACTATTAAAACTAATAAACTGTAACATTGTTATTTAGAATAGTATGATTATAATGTATTGATATTTTTTCATTCTTTCACTCAGCCTCTTCTATCATCCATCTCCTTCCTCTGTTTTTCTTACTCCCACTCACACTATAAAGTCTAAATGCCTCAATCTAGACTAAACTTTGTTTTAATAGCTCATACAATCCGATTAAAAAGATAGTTAACCCCCAAAAACATCTGTATTTACTAACAATAACTGAAATTATGCAGGACTGGAACAACAGAATGTTCATTTTGAATCAGCTATGCCAATATCTATTCCAACTAGCCACAAAACCTAGAATTAAACACAATTTGCAGGGAGGCTTTGACTTTCTTTTGTCCCAGTGCTCTAGTATTGAACAGCTCACCTTCTGTCCTCGGCGACTCACATTTTCGTCACGTTTGGCTTTTCCAGAAGACACAGAGCAGTTGAGCAGCTCATATGAGTCCTATGATGAGGAGGAGGTGACGAAGGGTAAGTCCACAGCGCAGCACCAGTGGCCTTCGCCTGAAGCCTCCATCGAGCTGATGAAGGACGCGCGGATCTGTGCTTTCCTCTGGAGGAAGAAGTGGCTCGGCCAGTGGGCCAAACAGCTGTGTGTTGTCCGGGAACACAGGCTCCTGGTGGGTGACATCATCACTTATTTCAGTGACATAATGGCTTGTCAGCGACACCCACATTTCAAACCCACAGCTGATCTATGATATGAGTGTTTATACAAATTCCAGTGTTTGCAATCACATGTTAACATCTGGTAATGTTCACTTTCATATACATGGAGACAGGCCATTTAAAGTCGATATTAAATGAAAACTGACTGTGTTTGTATTTCTAGTTTACCCATGTATGACTGACTGTTTCACATTATTGTGAAGAAATCAAATGTTAGTCTTTTTGTGACATTTATTTTGTGATATTTACATATTTATACATGTACATTTTTATTCATAATTTATTATTTGCTTTTTATTTTTGTATTTTTAAACTACAATTGTATTATTTGTGTGTAAAACTGTGCTATTATATATATATATATATTTTTTTTTTTTTTTTTTTTTACTTCTAATTATAACAAATTATTATATATAATAGTATGTTCACATTTTTTTACTGAAATGTAAAAATTTTTGTCAATCACAGGCATTCAAACGAACAAAAAATAATCACAATTGTTCTCTATGCTACTGTATTTAGTGCTACAAAAGCTCAAAGGATCAGACTCCACTGCTGGATATCAGTCTGCTGGGCTGCAGTGTGGTGTACAAAGAGAAACAAACAAAGAGAAAAGAGCACAAGTTGAAAATAAGTCCACTGGGAGCTGAAGCCATCGTCCTGGGACTGCAGAGCAAGGAGCAGGCTGAACAATGGCTCAAGGTGGAGGAAAATGGAGCTTGGCCCATACGATTAATTAATTAAACCAGTGTTTTGGGTTGTGCTGTCAAGGTTTAAAGCTTTCTTTTTCTTCATCAGGTTATTCAGGAAATTAGTCCGAAAAACACAACGGGATCAGATGTAACTGACTCTCCAACACTCATCTGTACTAAGGTATAACAGGTTGGAGTTTATTCTCTGAATCATTTGTGTATTAAACACTGAGATTTCAGGGTATTTGGCAAGTTAAGCTGTACAAATCATGTCTTTTCTGTCAGGGTGAGCAGAGCGAGCGTTACTCCGTGGCATCTGAGAGTGGCAGCAGCACAGACAGTCATGCAGAGAACATGGAGAACAAAGACGGTGAGGATGGACATCTTTTAAAAGGGATACTTCAGCCAAAAATGTGAAGTTAATCTTAATCTTATAAAATGTACACCTTCAGTAGAGCATTAAAGAACATTTCACCTTTTTGGAAATAAGTTCATTTTACATGTCAGCTAGAGTTAAACAGTTGAGTTTTGCCATGTTTTAATCTATTCAGCCGGTCACCAGGTCTGGAGGGAGGATTTTTAACTTAGCTTAGCATAAATCATTACAATTAATTAGACCAGTAGCATTTCGCTAAAAATTAAAAAATATTTATGTAGTTTTGATAATTCAGCTTTTTTAAGTTGGTGTAAATACAAAAGAGTTTATTATAGAAAATTATCAAAACTAATTTTTATTTTTTGAATGTGATGCTAATAGTCTAATCCAGTGCTTCCCATCCTTTTTTTGCCTAAGAATATTGTAAGGCCCCCTCAACATTTAATGATATTATCATTCATATAAGTTGCACTATATTAGATGCTAATTTTTTTTTAAGTTTCTTGTCAGTAGCTGTGACGTCCCTCATCTCATTTTGGGTGTGTGTCAACTCTTTTGCCTTGCGCTCAAAAACTGCTCTGGGCTTGTCGCGGCATTGGGGATGAGTCGCCTGCAAATGTCTTATTAACTTAGATGGCCTTATGCATTCGTTAACAAGAACTTTGGTGCAGATAATACACTGTGGCTGGGTCAGGGACTCATTGCTTTGAGAAAATGGAATAAAACCATAGCTCAGTTAAGTATCTTGATATTTTCTGCATTTTGTGTTTTCAGTATTGCTAATGCTGAACTCGAAAAGTTTGAAGCTTTCTCACCTTGGTCCAGGATGCTTGGGGTCATTAATATTAGCTGCTGAAGGCGAATCAGTGAGACTCGATCTTTTTTTGAGGAGGATGAATTACAAATTTGTTCATTTTTTGGTCCTCCAGGGGATAAAATGAACTAAGGCAACATGATTGTTCTCCCAATCGTCTACTGCTAAAAAATGTTTTTTTTTAAATATGATGCGACCCCCCAAAGAGCTCCCTGAGGCTACCTTGTGGGCCTGGACCCCCCTGTGGGAACCGCTGTTCTTATCCATGGGTGCCCAAAAAGTTTAGTTTTAAAAGTTTATCTTTCTAGAAATATTCTTGCATGCGTTTTGAGTCAAATTGGAGCTAAAATCTGCAGGTCACCAGCCCTCCAGGACTGTGTTTGGGCACCCCAATTCAATAATTTGTATTAGGCTAAGAAGAAAGTGCTCCCACCACACCCAGAGATCGGCTAAATGGATTAAAAGTAGTGAAACTCAACTGTTTAACTCTAGGGGACTTGTAAAATTAACTATTTACAAAAAAGGGGAGTGTTCCTTTGACTGCGATTTTAAGCTTACTAGGATTCATAAAATTTCATCGGCTAATCTGACAGTCAAAAACAACATATAATGGCAAAACTAAATAAATACATGAAGCTCATGACAATAGTATGAGGTCTTGTGATGTGAAATGATGAATCTGTGCAAAAAAATTACTCCAAACCTGGTACTCCACAAAATCCTTATTCTTGAAAATTGACTTTTAACAGTTTGATATATGTCATTATGTGACCAGAAGTTTGGACTATGATAAAGTAGACATCTGTATGTAATTTGTTTATCTTTTCTTAATTTAGTCAAGAAGAAATATGGCAAATTCAGTAATCTGATGAACATTGGCAAAAAGAAGGTTTGCTCTTTGGAAAGTCCAGAGAAGAGTGTGGATACATCAGGTAAATAACCATCTAAATACTGTATGTAGACTTAGTGTGACCACCTGCTTAATGTTCTTTTGCGGGACCGCAGATGTGATTATTATTATTATTTTTTTATTTTTTTTTTTTTTATCCATGTACTGTACATCCTCAATCCATACCAGTCAATCCTCACGTTTTTTCCCCTAGATTCTCTTGTATTTTACCATTCTATCCCACTATCATTTTACCGTATTTCTCCCATATATTATATCTTTCTATGAAAAGTGAAAGTAACATCAAAGAGCCAATCTCAAATGTGATATAATTAAAAAAGCTGTTAACGAGAATTAGACCTGTACTTTCGCTCTATTTTGACTTTAAAGCACTTTAAAATTAATATTTTAATTTTAAAGGAAGGGCGTCAACCATCACCCTTCCTATGCAATCTTTGAATCAGTCCAGTCATTGATCGGTGCTGACTGAGGGACGCGCTCCATAGTAATAAAGACACTGTTCCCAGATCAGCTTCTGTAACTTTACACACGAGAGGAGCAAAAGTGGACACTTTTGGATTTGGGTGTGTTTGTAAACAGACAAATACACTTATTAATATGTAAACATGTCCGTCCTGGCGTGTTTAAGACAAATAGTTTTGTCTTAAATGAGCACAAACAGTTGCGAAATCATGGATTTCAAATTGTGGATTTTTAAAGTCACACCTCTGTTATCAAACAAAACAGTGGATCAAAATGAAAGACTCGCTGCTCTTAACTAAATAATTATAGTAACTTTAAACAATATTTAAATACAGTAAATAAAGGTGAACAAGATTTTATGACTTGATTTAATTTCTGTATAGGCAATTGATTTTAATAGGCTAAAGCTTTTTTTTTCAGTATGTTCTAATGTTTGTTATGTATTCTATCATTTGAAGCTAATTTTCTCCCCATATGTAACAGTTTCAACTAGGTTTATATACATTTAAACAGCTCTAAATAAACAGATAAAGGAGTTTGGGGTCATTTTGGTAAATTCTTTGGGGTTCTAGGTTTGAGATTTTTTTTAGAGTGGGGGTGTGGGGGAGCAGTTATCCCAGATTTTTACATCACAACGTTGACAGGTATGCCTCAATCAATCATTGATGGGGGGAAAAGCATCTCAATTAATATGATGCTTATTATATTATTATTATAGATTATTTTATATTTTTTACACTTTAACAAGAACATGACAACTTTGTGAAAGTATAGCTGTGTGAAAGATTATTTAAAAAACTGTAACACTTTTTAGATTTTGGTATTTTAATGCCGGGAAGAAAAATTCTGCAGACAAAATTGAAATGCAGGATGTTTCTCAGTCCTTGCAGGAAGTGACAAATCTCTCAAAAGAGGTGGTCAACCTATGATCTGTTTTCATAATGCATCATCAGTCGGCTATGATGAAGCGCAAAATGTCAACAATCCTACTAAACTGAACAAAAGTAGCCTATTTTGTTGATTACTGTCATTGAAATGATCAATAATTTTCATGTTTGGTCTTTACTAATCAGTTGGATTGGAGAAAAAACATTTAGAGTACTTTTGACCGACAAAAGTTGTAACAAATCAAGCAGAGTAGAACCTATTCAAGTCAGTTGGTCGAAGTATTTCACAGTTTTCTTCCTACCAAGTCATTGTCTATATAATTCAGTAGCCTACATGTGTTTTTCCGTGGTTCAGACAACATAAATAAGCAAAAGAATGAATTGTGCAGTAGATTACCGTGCAGCACAGTACTGATGTTTACATCAGAGTATCTCCATCATGGCTACACATACAGTAATTGACCAAACTGTGATGTGAAACATTATTTAATATGCCAGATTTGAAACTCATTCGCATTTTCCTCACCTTTTTCCTCTTGCAGGCTACCTTAACGTCCTGGTGAACACCCAGTGGAGAAGCCGATGGTGTTCGGTGAAGGACA